TCATTTAGAAAAATTATTTATTTGTTTTATCTTTATATATATATATATATATATATATATATATACTATTTATATAAAGGAAATATTCTATTATATATTTTTTTTTATTCAACATTTTATTGAGGTTTGGTTATTTATGGGGCTAAATTTGATTAAAATTTATTCTTAATTTAATAGTATAGCTGTATTTCGATTACATGCATATTAGTATAAATAAGTATTTATAAGAAATGCTTTTATATATATTTCTTTCATATATCTTAAAGGTTTTTCTTTAGTTCATATATATATACAAAGTTCATTTATTTATTTACTCAAGTTATTTAATTACATTTAAAAAATAAATAAAATAAAATGTTTCTTTTTGGTGTGTATGATTCTTAAATTTATTTTATTTTACCATATATTAATATATATATATATATGTAATATTTCTTTTTAAATGTGAAAATCTTCATAAGATATCAATATTGTATACGAATATGATGAAATCATATATATGCACATTTTATATATGTTTCTTTTTTCTTTGGAATAATAAACATTTAATATATTGTACTCAAGATCTTATCGTAAGTATAGAAAAAAGAACTTAAAAATACATATAAATATCAAAAAAAAAAAAATATATGTTTTCTTGTATTTAAAATTAAATATTAGCTTCATGTTTTTATCTTATAATTTTTAATTATATATAAATATATATATATATATATATATATATGGTTACATTTTTAAAGGCACGTTCTAATAAACTATAATGGTCTAAGTATAAATTCATTGTATAAGTTAATATATTTCATTTTGTAAATATGTAATGTAAATAAAATATCCATACAACAATAATAAATAAATAAATAAATATATATATATATGCAATATTTCTTTTTAAATGTGAAGAGCTTCGTAACATATATACGGGATGTCTTTATTCCCTTCCCTTGTATTATACCTATTATTTCCCTCCAATAATTTTTTTTCTCAATTTTTTTTTTTAAAAAGCTTTGACCCTTTGTACTTGGAAGAATTTGAATTTAATAAATAAATAAACAAAATAAGAAAGTAAAAGAAAAGTGACTCCAATGAGTATAATAAAATTAACACAAGCTATAAATGATATATCATTAAATGAATCTCCTTGGAAAATTTTTAAGAGAAATATGGGTATATATTTTATATAGTTCTGGTAAAAAGGTATGACATGCTCATTTCTAGAAAAAGATTCCACATAATCTATATATGTGAAACGTGCAAAATAAGAAAAAAATCCATTATTTAAAGCTGATGTTGAATCACTTAACTGATTTAGAAATATGTTAAATACTTCTATAGGTGTAGGCTCATTAGGATTATTTCTTTGATTAATTATTACAGTTGCCTTTATAGCGTTTTTCAATTTTTTTATGGGTTTGACGTGAACTCTTAATTTTAAGTCGTGTTTAGTGATCTGATAAGGATATAAATCAACAAAAAATAAAATGATTTATTATTTTATAAAACTATGTATGCATATGTAGATCATATAAAAAATATATATCATATATATATATATATATATATGTTATTACGTCATTTATTGCTTCCTTTATGTAGTCTGACATGGACCCAAAAACATTTGAATAAAACCTCTCCTTTTTCGAAGCGTCATCTTCATCATTTGAGAAATTATTATGAAAATTATTAAAAATATATAATCCTATTTTAATTCCCTTTAATGGATGTAAACAATTATTTAATATTCGTACATAGGGATAAGGACATAAACAAATATATCTATTTTTGGCTAGTACACATTTTCCTGGACTTTCGCATGTATTGTTAGGATCTAGTACACATTCGTTATTTTGCTCACATATAGAACTCATTGGATTTCTCGAATATCCTTTAATACAAACACATTCCCCATTTATACATTCTTCATTTAAATAACAAAATTTTTTTGTTTTCTCACAGAATGGATATAAACAATTTGTATTTTTTTGTTTGGATAGAATATCACAGAAGCATAATAATTTTCCTTTATGCTCAAAGGAATGATTATTTGTACAATGTGTCTTTTCATCATACGTTTTTGTTATAGTATTATATGTTACATATTTTTCATCATATCGTTTTATAAAAGCACCCGATATAGTAATATGTGAATTTTTTTTTATATTATCATAGTCTTGAAAACTATAAGCTATAATATTAATAGGTGTATATGGATTACCTAAAATAAAATATTCATTTAAGATTTCTTCTTTTATATCATATTCATTATTTTTAGAGTAATCTAATATATCAACTCTTTTACTAAGAGGTAAAAGTAATAACAAATTGTGTTCACTGATGTTGACCATAGTACCACTTATCTTAGCAGTAATAACCAGATTAGTTGTTTTATCACCAGCTGATATAAAGTGAGCAAAAGCATAATTTATACATATTTGTGCATTTTTTTTATAAAAATTTCTATTTTTTAACATATTATTAAGTACTAAAGGTATATCATACTCATCACAATATTTTTGCGGTTTAATGAAAACTAGAGGACTGATTACATAAAATATAAATTGTGGATAAGGAGATAATAAATATAAATATGTTAATATAATTCTTGATTTATGAAATAGACATAAACGCTTTTTATCAAACTTCATATCTTTACATATATCAATTAATTTTTCATATTGAAATTTTTTTGTTTTATAAGATATATCTAAAGGATCATTAAAAAAATTATAATTTAACATTTTTTCATATAATTCTTTATTTTTTTTTTTAATTTTATTCATAAAATTATATCTTATTTGTAAATATTGACTAACAACAAAATCACCCTTTGATTTATTGATTACATTTCGATTACATAAGCATGTTTCCTTTTTCAAATCAAAATATTTTATTAATTCTTCATTATTATTTATATTACTTTTTTTATTATTTCTATCCAGAAGATTGATTTTATACTCCTTTAAATTATTTAAATTAGATACTTTTAAAGAATTCAATATAGAGGTTTTGTGTGAATGGTATTTTTCGTATAAATTATATTTATTAAATAAAAGAACACATTCAGGTTCATATTGTTCAAATGCATATAATTTGCTGTTCCAAAAAGTATAATATTTAGTTATATTATGATTATAATTTTTTATAAAAATATTTTTCATTATTCTATATACATATATTCTTTTCATAGCTTTATGCAATTCTCCAACAATAAAAACAACAGATGCCATAAAAGATATTAAAATTATTCCAAGCGTATATTCACTTGATGGTCTTATAGTAACATGGAAATCTCCATAATATTTGTTATCAAATTTTTTTATAAATGAAAGAGCATAATCATTTTTATTACAATTCCCTGTACATTTATATTGTATATAACTGTTATCATCATCATAAGTAACGTAATTAATATTATCGTATTTATATGATGGTATATCTTTATCTGTATTAACATTATTCTTCTTTACATATATCATTCTATTGTCTTGTTTCTTCATGTCAATTCTTGTACATAAGGTACCAACTTTATCTCCTGACAAATATGCCAAAATTATAGCATGGAAAATATTAAGGTATCTCAATTCATGAATTAATTGAATGTACACAGAATTTTCTTTATCGAGGCAAAACATCTAAAATAAGAAATAAGTATGTGTGTGTGTGGGGGGGTTATAGTGTGTAATTTTAAATGTAAGAGTACATGTATATATTAAGGTATATACGAATATAAATATGTATATATGTATATATGTATATATGTATATGTGTATATATGTATATGTGTATATATGTATATGTGTATATATTTATTTATTTATTCCTTTTTGTACATCATTTCCAAAGTATAATATTATGATGAGATATTTTATCAAATACTTGTCTTCATTGAAGGGAATAAGATTATACATTTCTTGAAGGGTTAACTTTATCTGGTTTTTAGGATGAAAGGTTATTTATTTAATATATTATCATATATATATTATATATAATTATATATATATATATATATATATATATATATATATATATATATATTTTACCAATTCTTTCAAAATTATTTGACTTTCCTTAAATAAGTCACTTAAGTCAGCATACTCATAAAAATACTCATGAAGATCCAGAAGATTCGTTAGAAAGCTATATAGTTGATAATTATAACAATTAAAATTATATAACATATCATAATGTGATCTGAGTATTGCAATTTTTAATAACTTGGATATATGTTTCCCACCACAATCAAATAAGGCTTTAAAGAGTTTCGATAATATATATTCGAATTTTATATAATTAGTAGATGGAATGATAAATATATCAAATATATCCATTCTTTCTATTTTTATTTTATCTTTAATTTTGTTCATATCCTTTTTAGTAATTTTCTTAAAATATGTTGTATAATCATATAACTCTTCATTTGTAAATGTACTTATCATATTTAAAAGAACAGAATCAAAATTAATATTTTTGTGCAATGAATAGTTTTTTAATGGATTATATCTTGCGAATATTATATATTTAAAAATATTTTTCGTTAGATAAAGTAAATATATATTGGATATTATTTTATTTTCTATGGAAATAACATCATAACTTTTTTTAGTATAATAAGTACTCCTACACGAAAAAATAAATAAATAAATAAAATAAAAATAATAAAAATAATAAAAAATAAAGAAAATAATAAAATTATAATAATCCATATAAAATTATGTGAACACGTTTTATTAAAAATTAAATAATCCATCTATACACCCACATATATATATATATATATATATATATATAGAGATAGATATTTTATATAAAAAGACATATTGTTTCCTGTACAGAAATAAATTACAACACACAATATTTTACTTTATTTATTATTATTATTATTATTATATATATATATATATATATATACTTTTATTATTACTCTTTTATGTAGGAAAATATTTTGTTCATTGTCTTAACATACAATATTTTACTCTTACGTATCCATCCAATCAAATTATCCT